TTCCTCCTGTTTTGATTTCTATCCTTAGAGCAAGAGGATTCCATTAGATGTCTGTAGTTTTTGGTTGCCTGCTTCTGTGGGTTAGAAGCTCTTATGCTCTTAACGTGGGTTGGGCTGGTGTACCCTGAACTTCTCTCTAGCTCTGGTTCAGCTATTGGTTGAGAAATCCTGATATCACTATCTTTAGGTCTTTCCTCTTAGATTGGTCAATTTCCATAGAGAAAGGCTGTCCAGTTTCCATCTGAAGGATTAAGGGCTGCCAGCATTTTAGGAGCAGAGTGAAAGTAGAGGGATGGAGGAGGGCAGGGCATGGGGGTGGGGGTGATCTCAACACTTTTTTGTATAATCCCCATTTTTAGTCCCCTTCTCTTTATTCCAACTTCCAGAGATTTCTGTCAATTCCCAAGACTTTTGAGGATTCTTCAAGGTAGATTTGGTTGGTTCTCAGCTTTCTCCACAATTAGTTTAGGATTCCACTTTGGTCTGCTAAGTCATCCATCTGCTTTCTTGTTTCTAACATTCTGTTGCCGCTTTTGCCGTTTCTGTTCTCCCTGTCCTCATGAATTTATGCCTTTTAAAAAAATCATTTTATTGTGCTTTTATGGGGTTTCAGGATGGAGGAAATTAGATGCCTGTATTAAGCCACCCAGTTGCTCTTCAGTTCACTCCTGTCTTGTTTTCTTCCCCATATCTTCCAGTGATATTGCTCAAGCTCAAGGTCCCCAGTAACCCCTGGCTTTTAAAATTAATATCCATTTTTTTAAGTTTACGTCTTAGAGTGAGCATTATCTAATTTTGCCTTCTTTTAAACCATAAAAAACCTCCCTTTATTGTGATATAAATGACATACTATAATAAAGAATTAGCATAGTCACAAAATTGTACAACCACCACCACTGTCTAAATCCAGAGCATTTTTATCACCCCCAAATAAGACCCTATACCCATTAGCAGCTCTCAGCTCCTATAATTATTAATCTACTTTTTATTTCTAGGTTTGCCCATTCTGGACATTTCATATAAATGGAATTATACTATATGGTCTTTTGTGACTGGCTTCTTTTACTTAGCATAAAGTAAAACTACCTTTTGCTCGTTAAAATCATCTCCTCTGCTGACCTCTTCCTGGCCTGGTACTCCAGGCTCTCTGTGTTAGATTCTCTTCCCTTCTTCTCTACATCCACTCCTCTAACTTGAGCCACATGTGCCATGAACTCCCAAATCCATCTTTCTTACCCTGACCTCTTCCCAGAGCTTCAGGCTCATGCAGTTACCTGCTGAGTTGGCATCTTCACCTGAATGCTAACAGGCCATCACAGATTGATCATGTCCAAAACATGAATTCAGTTTTCATCCTGAGCCACACTGATTCTCCTCTAACTGATGTATTTCAGAAAGCGATGCTGCCATCCTCCAGTCAAAAAACTTAATCCATTATGAAGTATGTACTTATTTTTGTGATGATTCATTTTAGTTCTTTATTTCTCACTAGTCTGTAAGCTCCACCAAGGCAGGGACAGTGCCTATTTGGTTTACCATTGTATACCCAGTGCTTGGCTTAGTACATACCCAGCATGTAATAGGGAAGTATAATATTTGCTGAATGAATGAACAAATGAATGAATTTAAAGAAGAATAAGACATAATTCTTGCCTTCAAGTTGCCTATAATCTTATTAGAGAAAACAGATGTCCATGTGTATTGTTAAAAACTATTTAGAAAGTACAAAGTTAAATGTCAAGTAAGTAGCAATGCTTTGGGAGTTCAAAGGCAGGATGATTAGGGAAGGCAACAAGAAGAAGGTAAGTTTTAAATGGGTGAAGACAAGCGTGAGCATAATAGCAAGCAAAGGGGGACCCCTGGGTGGCTCAGCGATTTAGCGCCTGCCTTAGGCCCAGGGTGTGATCCTGGAGACCCAGGGTCAAGTCCCACATCGGGCTCCCTGCATGGAGCCTGCTTCTCCCTCTGCCTGTGTCTCTGCTCTCTCTCTCTCTCTCCGTGTGTGTTTCTCATAAATAAATAAAATCTTAAAAAAAAAAAAAAAGCAAGCAAAGGCCTAGAGGTGGAACTTGAGTTGTATAGGAGATAGTAGAGAAACTGCTGCAACTAGAGAAGCCATTTAAGAAAACCACCTGTTGGGAAGCAGACTGTACAGCAGGCCAGTGCAGGGAGAAGTGCAGGACCAGGGCTGACTTCCTGTCAGGCACGCTGACACCCTAAGTAGCTAGGTGTTTTATAGATTCAGTCTTTTATTTGGGTATCGGTATAAACAAAACTATATTGAATATAAATGTAAACTTTTGGCATAAAAATAATCAGAAAAAAAGTTTAAAAAATCTGATTTTGGAAATTAACTTTGTTTGCAGTTGAAGAGCTCACTCATTATGCTTCAGAGAACTTTTGATCTACTAAATAAGAACAAGACTGGTATGACTGTCGAAAGCTAGTGATCTCAAGGCCTGAAATTGTAGAGATACTTGGAACTAAAAGAAAACACCTTAAAGAAAGCCAGAGGATGGAAGATTTTAATTGTCATGGGAACATTTCCACATTTTCTCATTATTGGTACTTCTAATATAAACATTATTTTTAATAACATTAATTTGATAACTAGTTCTGATGGCCTCAACAATCCATTCTTTCACTTCCTATACATAATTCTAAGCAGTGAATTTCTCCAGTGAAGCGTGAAATTTGTGGATTTGAATTTCTGATACAAAAAGAAAATGAGACACTGAATTGAGTAGTGTGGCCTAATTTTTACAGTGAGGTTTGAAGTCTGATGCTTTATCCATTAGCACAGAATCAGTATGTCTCTGGTAGGCTGCTTTCCCAGTTGAGATACATTCAAGAGGCTAAAGAAGACAATAGAAGAATGAACCTCTTTATCATTACTACTTTTGAAGGACCATTTTTCAGGCATATATTCTGACATTTCCAAGTTTGTGTACTGTAAGTATTTTAGTGTCTGAACTTATTCAGCATGCATATTCAATTGTCAACCTTTTGAGTCTGTAAGTTGGTAATTATTATCTGAAACATTCTTGAGCCATGTTGTAACTTTTTGAAGAAATAGTTGTTTCTTCTTTAGGTAGCTATCAGAGGTGAGATTTTCTTGTTTCAAATGGCAGGAGAGACAATTCTGAAAAAGGACACATGTAGGATACCAACAGTCAAAATGAAGAACCATGCTTTCATTTTAAAAACCAGATGATTATGTAAAAATCTGGGCATTTAGTGACATATCAAATGAATACTTGAACTAAGCTTGGCTTCAGCTTAGCACTCTTTCATGGTAGAAGTGAACCACCTTGTTGAAAATTGTGGATTACTTTTTAGTAGCCACATAATGTCTCCATTTATTCACTCATGTGTGTGGCTTGTTTCAGCGGGTAAGTTATAAGCAGACACAAACTTTAGCTCTTCAGTAAAAACTTTTGGGGTCACTTTGTCCCAATACTAGTGCACTGACTGACTGAAGTTTGAAGTCAGACGGAAGTTTTGGCTCTTTGATGAAAAGTTTTTAGGCATATATGTCTCGATACAAGTGATGTCTGGAACAAGAGAAGGACAGTGTGGAATAATTTGTGTGTATTCTTACTGTTTGGACAATGCTTGCCTTTAGTTAAGTGTTTCTTTCTTTCCCCAGAACCCCATGAGATTGCTAAAGTCATTTTTGAAATGCCTGTAGAGAATGACAGTATTGACTTGATTACAGGGAAATGGATTTCTCTGGGTGATTCCCAACAAACCTACCTTGGGGTACCAGTGTACTTACCTGGGAGTTTTCTGATTTATGAAGTGTGGCTGTGATCAAGAGTCACTGGACTATAAACTTGAAGACTTTGTTCTCTGTTAAATTCACAAAAATGATCAGTGGCAAGCTGAGTATTTTGTGATGCTTCTTTAAAAACTTGTACTTCGTAAATATACCTCAAAGACAATTACCAAAGTTGCTTTATAGATTGACTAAACATGTATGTAGGCAGAACTGAGTTAATTGTATGAGCCTGTTATATAAATTGAGTATCAATAAAACCCAAAATGTCTGAGCTGTAGTTTTTCTTTTTCTGTTTAAAAAGGAAAAAAAAGTTTCCCAGCATCTCCACCAAAAAAGCAAAAACAGAAACAAAAACAAAAACAAAAACAAACAAAAACAAAAAAAAAAAGGAAAAAAAACCCCAAGAAACAAAATAAGTAGAAACCATGCAATAGCGAAACCGTGTATATGGGCCTACACTCTTTAAGAAATTTAGTGCAAAAAAAAAAAAAAATTAGTGCAAAAATAAAACCCAAAGAGAACTCCCATTAGGGCAGTTTCATTTCAAATATGCGGTGCGTTGGAACAAAAGTACTAGTAGGCCGGCCGGTCGAGTGTAGAATCTGCTCGCCAGAAATCGTGGAAAGGAACAAGCTTTCCAAACGAACAGCTCAGGGACAGCGATGGGCCTTTAAGGGAAGGCTGGAGGATTTGGGGGCGGTACCCCGGGAACAATCTGCGGTGCAGAGCTCCACCTAAGCCTGTTGCCGGCGTCCGAGCGGGGACCGGCGCCGGGCGAATCCTCGGGCTCCCGGGGTCTCGGTCTCTCCGTCGGGCGCTCGGCTGCCGGGGGGCCTGGGGCCTGGGGTTCCCCGCCCACGTCCCGCCCGCGGGGCCGCTCGGGGGCCGGGCCAGCCCGCAGGTGCGGGTCCTCGGGTCCTCGGGTCCTCGGGTCCTCGGGTCCTCCGGGCGGCGGGGGCGGGGCCCGGGCGGGGCGGGGCCTGGCGGTGGGGGCGGGGCCTGGGCGGCGGGCCCGGCGGGGCGGCGGGCGGCGCACGTGCGGGCCGGCGGGCGGGGATCCCCGGCGGCGGGGGCGGGGCACCCGGAAGCGCGCGGAGCGGCCACGCGGGGCCGGCGGGCGGCGGGAGGGCGGGGAGGCGGGCGGCGGGCGCACCGCCGGGGCCGGGGCCGGGGCCGCGGCCGCCCGTGCGCACAGGTGGGCGGCGGCGCGGAGTCGGGGCCCCCGGAGCCCCGCGGAGCCGAGCTCTGCAGCCGCGGCCGCGCCTCGGGGGGAGCCGGCCGTGGTCGCCTCCACGTCGGCCTCGGGCTGCCGCCGCACCTCGGCCCCGGAGCGCAGGTAACTTCCCTTCCAAGGTCATCCGTGGGGCGGGGCGGGGCGGGGCGGGGCGGCGCTCGCGGGCGGCGGGGGCGGGACAGGGGCGCGGGCCGGACGGAGACCTGGGGAGCTGCGCCGCCGCCCCCGCCGCCCCCGCCGCCCCGGCCGCCCCCGCCGCCCCGGCCGCGCCCCCCGGAGGGCGAGTTTGCACCTGCGCGGGGCCGTCCCCGCCGGCGCCGGCAGGTGAGCTGTGGGGCCCGCGCGGTCGGCCGGCCCCGCGGGGAGCGAGGGAGCCCGGGCGCCGGCGGCCCCGCTGGGAAGGGGCGGCGGGGGGCGGCGGGGGCGGCCGGACCCGGGTCGGGCCGAGCCGAGCCAGGAACGCCTGGCGAACACGAGACCCCCTCCCCCCTCCCGCTCCCCCTCCCGCTCCCCTCCCGCTCCCCCTCCCCCTCCCGGTTGCTCTTTCAGGCGTCGGCGGAGAATCCGGGAGAGGCGTGCGTGTGTGCGAGATAGGAGCCGCGCTCTCGTCACCTGTACCTACTGCGGGCTCCTCGCACCTCGAGGCGGCAGGTGGGGATCATGACACAGAAGGGCGGTGTGAAGCCGGGGAAGAAAAACAAAGCCGAAGAGCCCGAATTGGAGCCCCTGTGCTGCTGCGAGTACATAGATCGAAACGGGGAAAAGAACCACGTGGCTGCTTGTTTGTGTGACTGCCAAGATCTCGATGAGGGATGCGACAGGTAAGGGCAGGGCCGCCCGAAGCTGACCCCGCCGCAAGCTCCCCCCCCCCCCCCCAATGCAGGACGCTGGATTCGCTCTTGAGGCTGTTTGCAGGGATCTAAGATTGAGAGAGAGCTGTGTTCTGCGTCAGGTGTGAGGATCTCATAAAGGTGAATTACTCAGGAGCTCACAACTGCACAGCGGTCTCTTCAGCTCAGTTTAGTAGGACATTATTATTTTTCACGTAAAGGGAGAAGCCGATGGGGAGAACAGGCAAATAAAGGGATAGTGGCAGGTGAAATGTATAAAAAAAGGAAGGGCAGACCAGAATCTGTAAATTTTATTTACCTATCTGTGTCTTTTTTTTTTTTTTAAGATTTTATTTATTTATTAGAGAGCGCGTGTGAGTGCATGGGGAGAGGGAGAAGCAGGCTCGCCTCCTTGAGCAGGGAGCCCGATCCCAGGATCCTGGGATAATGACCTGACAGGAAGGCAGATGCTTAACCACCTGAGCCATGGAGGTGCCCCAGAATCTGTAAATTTAAAATGAACACGTTACTACTAGGAGGTTCCTTCCTTCTCTGTGTTCTCAGCATCTAGGGATCGAGTACTCGAGGCTGGACCGCACCTGACCATAAAAGGCCTTGAGGGTTGAAAGATCATTTTCCTGCTGTTGGAATTGGCCTCACCCTTGTTCCTGGGGAGGCGATCCAGTCCAGAAGTCATGTCCTTGCCGTGGACTGGCTGTTTTCAGCACGAGCAGAAACGCTGTCTTGACCAGTATCATTGCATTTGGCTTTTATTTTCAAATCCATTACTCCAGGTGTTGGAAATTACTATCCAAAAAGGTGATATTTAATATCAGAGAAAAAATTTTGTACCGAACAGGAATAACGAGGTTTGGATCCATTTTCCAAATAATCCTATATCTAAAAATTGTTGCCATATGGAAAGCATAGTGTGGGAGGAAATAAGGATGTTGGGAACTTGCTTTTCCCAATCATAATTACTTCCGGTTACAAAAGCTCACTGTAGTGGCACCTTGCTGACTTAGAGCCCGGTGCATTCATCTAGACGTGAAAAGCACTTGGGACCACTGTAGTTCGCTAGCAGAGCCCTGCAGCCCCTATAGTTCTTTTGTCATTATTCCTTGATTGTGTCTTGAGTCTTTTTTTACAGGTATTTTAAAATTGATTTAGTCTAAAATCCATACGGAGAAAATGGAGCACTCTGCTTTAATGAATGGAAAAATGATGCTGTTTCCGTAACCTCCATCACTCGAGACCACAGCTCTTCCATTAACCTTCTAACTCTCTCTCCCTCCTCGCCCTTGAGACCTGGGCCATCCCTGAGCTCTTGGCTCCCTCCGTACTCTTCTCTGGAGAGAGGCTCCCAGTCCCCCTCTGTCCTGCTGTGGTGTGACTCCCGTGTTCTCGTCTCCCCCCGTGCCCAAGTTGTTGCCTTACTTTTCTGAATTGTTGGTCTACAGTCCAGAGTTACCATTCCTTAAACTGTTCATTGTCTTGTTAGCCTAAATGTGCAAACATGTCAGCAAATCCCGTGTGTCCACGAGGCTCAGGCATTTGGCTCTTCCTAGCTCGCTCTCCCCTCTTCCTTCTGCAGCCCCTGGCCCCGCTACACTGGCTCCTCCCTGGGTGCGGGACAGGTGTGTGCTGCACAGGTGCCGCTCCCCTGGGACGCACCCCCCCCCAATACCCGCCAGCTGTCCAGGTGTGGGGTGCACACCCCACCTTTTTCACAGAGATCCCTCTAATGACTCCACCCCATGGTGTCTCCTCTGAGCGCCTCACAGTGTTTGGCCACAGTAGTTCATGGGGCGGTTTTGCTGCTTTGTCTCTTCTCATATTTCCCAACCTCCCATGTCGTCTTCACGACCAGATGATGAATTGTTCTGAGGATCTTAAGTCTCTATAGTCAGCCGGGTCCGAACAGTACTTGCCCAGGATACGCCTGCATTCCTATGTATCTGCTTCGTGGAGAAATAGTTTTGACTGTTGTATTTCTAAACATCATCTCCCCTTTCGTGTTAAAAAGATGACCTGTGGTCCAAAGAGCTCACGTTTAGTAGTTTGGAAGTAGAGCGCTTGGTCTTCGGCCTCTTTCAGCGTGTGTCCTGCTGTTTGGCCTGCAGTGCTCCGTGGTTTTGAATTTAGCAAACCCAAGTGAAGTGCCTTCTCTTTGTGCTCTTCTGAATAGGTGGGTTACGTGTAAGTCGGTGCAGCCAGAGACCTGCGAGAGAATCATGGACACGGTTTCTGATCGCCTCCGAATTCCTTGGCTGAGGGGGGCCAAGAAAGTTAACATTAGCATCATTCCCCCGCTCATCCTACTGCCCGTCTTCCTCCGCGTGGCCTCCTGGCATTTCCTCCTGGGGGTGGTGGTTTTGACCTCCCTTCCCGTGCTGGCCCTGTGGTACTACTACCTCACTCACCGAAGGAAAGAACAGACTCTGTTTTTCCTGAGCCTCGGACTGTTTTCTCTGGGCTACATGTACTATGTGTTCCTGCAGGAGGTGGTCCCCAGAGGGCGCGTGGGGCCCACTCGGCTGGCTCTTCTTACCTGCGGGTTGTTTCTGATACTCTTAGCCTTGTGCAGAGCCAAGAAGAATCCAGGCTACCTCAGGAGCCCGGCAGGCAGCGAGCGGCCCGGGAGCGGCGGCCAGGACAAGGCCCGGGGGCCTCTCGGCAGCCGCGCGCCGAGGGAGGAGCTTCGGGGCCCCTCCGGGGTGCCGGCCGGGAGCCCCGCCAAGGTGAAGGAGGACTGGTGCGCCAAGTGCCAGCTGGTGCGACCGGCGCGCGCGTGGCACTGCCGGATCTGCGGCATCTGCGTGAGGAGAATGGATCACCACTGTGTCTGGTATGTCGGGAAAACGTGGAGGCTCGCGGAGGGTAAAGCCCCGTCAGCCGCTGGCCGAGCTCGGGCTTCTCCGGCCGCCGCGCCCTCCCAGCCGCACACCTGCACGTAGCCGGCGGCTGCTGGATGTGCCCACCTCGTGGGCAGTTCTCCCACTTCCCACACGTGGGTCGCTCAGTCGTTTCCTGAAGGCTCTTGTGGTGGTCGCTGTCGCTGCTGTCTTGCTCTTCTCTTCCGGGCTGCCCCTCACTCACTTTCTCCTCCGTAGAACGAGTCTCTGCAGTTGAGTGATATATATGTGTGTGTGTGTGTGTATATATATATATATTTTAAGAATGGATCAGAATCAGCCTAGGCATATCCCCCCCCCCCCCCCCCGTGCTGGGCCTTTTGAGCGCAGAGCTCAAGAAAGCATTCCCATATTTGTCGGGGACTTAGTCCCCTCATGTGCGTCCTTCATCACCCTGATGGCTCCCAGTCTGCAGGGTTGAGGTGAGGCCCTGCCACGTAGCTCCTTGTTTTGCTCTTTGCGGAGAAACGGGCTATTTTGGTACCTGCCCACTGGCCAGCGCCAACCCAGGACACAGGAAGGGCCCTGCCCTAGGATATGCAACTTGTAAAGACGATGTTGCTGCTTCACTGAGCAAATCTGAGGGAGGGTATAGTTAATTCAGATGCCAAGGCTGGAAGTAGCGTGCTTGCTACTCTGCAGCTCTTGGCTCTGAAGGCCCTTGTGGTCAGTGAGTTATGCCTTCTGTGGTTAGGATTCTGGTCACATAGCACCCCCCCCCCCCCCGCCGCCAGCCCACAGAAGGGGACGTGGGGGAGGGAGAAGGTGCAGCAAGGCCAGGAGGGCCTTGGAGTGGACCTCAAGGGGGGGCTCAGGCACAGGGATGCTTTTTTCTGGGGCTTGCTTTAGGAGTAAACAGGTATTTTCACTCTCAGATTTTGAGTCTTCGTCATATATTCGTGTGTGCACGTGTGTGTGTGTGTTCGTGTGTTTGTTGGGGGTGGGGGGTGGCCCATCGACAAGTGCTGGATTGTGGATGGCCTGACAGCTCCATGTAAAGGAAGATCTCTGCCCTACAAGTGGCTATGATACAGAACTCTTTCTCCCTGACCAGAGAACTGTTCTTCACCTCACACCCGGTTTCTAACCTCTTGGGAATCTTTGTATTAACATATGTGTTTAACATATATATTAACACACTATGTAATACTTGTGGTTTTAAAGTTTTCCTAACTGATGTCACCCTTTCCTTGTGGTGGTGGCTGCAGCATTAACACACTTCATAATTGGGTAATAGACTCGTTAGGATATAGAAAGATTCTTAGCTGGGTTCTGCTTTTTACTTGGTTACGTCCTTAAAAGTAATGATCTGGTTTCACTTTGGAAAGAGCAGAAAATATAAGGCTACGCCTCTCAGTGGGCAAGTTTTTAATTCCCTAAAGTTGAAAAATAAGAGAACCAACTTTTTAATTACTGAAATTCACGTTATCCCTGTTTTTGAAACTTCCTTGTTTATTATGTGAGTTATATGGAGAACTTTTTTTTTTCTTTTTCGTTGGACTGTAGTTGATCTACAGTGTTCTGTTACTTAACAGGTGCATGGCATAGTCGTTCAACGTGTATATTCATTATGAAATGATCACCGTGATAGCTTTAGCTGCCATCAGTATCAAGAACCTTAAAAAATGTCTGCTTTTTCTTCCCCCTATGCTGTTTTGAGGATAAATAGCTGTGTTGGAGAATCAAATCACCAAGCATTTATACTTGCCCTTTCGGTCTTCTTGCTCACTTCGGTGTATGGGATCACACTGACCTTGGACACCATCTGTAGAGACCGAAGTGTCTTCACAGCTCTCTTCTATTGTCCTGGAGTTTATGCAGATTACAGGTGAGATGCTACCGGGGCACGGAGCACAGAGACGAGGGAATGGGTGGGTGTTGCCGTTACCTAAGGGGCTGTGATTTGCTGCCAGGGTAGGAGTTTCCAACCAAAAGAGAGGACAGGCTGTTGGATGCTGGGTATCCTTGAAATGGCCAACAAAATTGTGCCTTTTTCTAGGGTGATGTCAGAAGGATCGTTGACCCTTACAGAGTGAGGAACTAGTACCCTCCTGCAAGTAGGACCGGGCTCAGTCAGGGACTTCCAGAGTCAGATGGCCACGTGCATGCCCAGGGTGGCAAGAGTGAAACTAAGACCGTAAACGAGCAGTCCCAGGGTACGTGTGCAGTCTGTTTTGTCATAAATCATCTCGGCAAGTCCTCACTTCATTGCAGCTTTCTCGTGCTCTTTAGCCCTATCTTGATTTATTGCTTCTGACCCCTTTGTGGAGCCTCACAGTTTCTATGACATGTCTTTACTTTCTAACCTCCATTGGTTTTTCCTGTTCTACTTTTTGAAAAATCACCACTCATGATTACTGTGGTATCTAGGTCAAAATTTCCTTAGTTAGGCTGGGGCACATTTCTGTATTGTAAAGATCTCTGTGTGCTTTGCTGCGTCAGCCCCAGCCAGCCCCCCCCCCCGCCCCCCAGATGGCTGCGGGCCCCTGCCTCTGTTCTTCATCTCCTCCACGGTCTCCGCTAATGCGGTGCTGTGTAGTATCTGTGCCGTACCCCCCCCCCCACCCCCAACCCGCTCTGAGCTAGGACAGCGCTGCCTTCGTGGTTCTTTTCTCAGAACAATCTCTGCTTTACCCACATAGCACCCCTGTGAAGGTATTTATTAGTCTGTGGACAGATCTCCCATTGCCATTATAGATCTAGATATTTGTGGGCATTATTAGAACAGGTTGGTCCTCCTCCTCAGGGTAAGTTCCTTTTTTTTCTGTATTGAGTGTGCTAGTAGGTTGTGAAATTCTGCAGTCACAACTGTGCATAGTAAATGTCCTCCAGCAGAGCATGACTGTATGTGGTGAAGCATGAGTTTTGTGGGCTTTCTGGGGGCCACTGACATGGAATGAGGAACCCAGGCTGCCATTGGTACCTACCCAGTGTACAGGTGCTTCACGTTGCCTTGTTGAGCCCTGGTGTTTCTCATCTTTATGGTGAGGTCATCACCTCTGGGTCCCTTTCACCTTAACAAATGAAGATTTGGGATAGGTTCATTTCCAGCTAGCTCTTCATTTGCAAATGTTTGAAAATAATCAATTGGCGGACATGAATCAGCAGCCTCTCCTGTCTCAGTAAGGAGCTGAAGGGAGCTTTCTTGTCCTGTGTGATTGTTCCGGTTGAGGAAGCCGGACCTGGAATGTGATTGTGCTTCTACGTAGAAGTGAAGGGAAATATGAAACAAAACGAAATCAGAGAGGGAGACAAGCCATAAGAGACTCTTTATCATAAGAAACAAACTGAAGGTTGCTGGAGGGAAGGGGGATGGAAGGATGGGGTAACCGGGTGATGGGCATTAGGGAGGGTCCTTGACGCAATGAGCACTGGTGAATCACTAAATTCTACCCCTGAAACAAATAATAACACTTCTACATTAACTACATTGAATTTAAATAAAATTAAAAAAAAAAAGAAGTCAAGGACTTGCAGTGTTGGGAGTTGTCTTCTCACTTGTGTTCACCAGCATTGTGCCGAAGAGAGCGGAGACAAATGCTTGAGCACCGTTCCTGGGTCCCCATCCAGGCTTCCTTAAGGATGTGTATAGCAGTGTCCTGGTTCCTTGATTTTCCCCAGTTAAGAATAATTTAAGAATTGTTCGTTCATTTGATAGATTCTAAATGCTGTTATGTCAGCTGCTGTGTTGGTTGTATGGGGGATACAAAATGCAGAAACGTCCTGGCTGTTCTAATGTACTAGAAAAAGAGCCCCCCAATAATTATAGCATGAAAAGGACATGCAAGTAGTCATAAGGTAAGCATTCAGGGTCCTGAGGGTAGAAAAGTATCCTCCGAGTGGGATAATTGGGGAAGGCGCCAGAGTCCTCAGTAATGGGTACCGTGTGTGTCCAGTGTCAGGATGGTGCCAGCTTTCTGACTGGAGAGATGGGCAGTCCTGACCCCCTCTTTGTCCTCCAGCTCGGCTCTGGCCTTCACCTGTGTGTGGTACTCCGTGATCGTCACGGCGGGCATGGCCTACATCTTCCTCATTCAGCTGATTAACATCAGTTACAACGTCACCGAGAGGGAAGTCCAGCAGGCCCTGCGTCAGAAGACGGGGCGCCGGCTCCTCTGCGGGCTCATCGTGGACACAGGCCAGTACAATCGGGGCTTCCTGCGGAACTGGCACCAGTTCTCCACGCTGGGCGCCCCCCCCTTCCACCACCCTGCCGAGGACATTGTCTGAAGTGCCTTCTGTGTGGCTCTGTGAGGGGTGGCCCGCCCTCTGCTCCCGTCCATCGAACACTTCAGTGTCCGCGCAGGATGTTCATTTTTATCCCCAGTTTCTTAAAGGCTATATAGGGCCACGCTCAGGTTTAGACACTGGACTGGGAAGAAATGAATTTTTCTGACTTCAACTTAAGAGATTTTTATATCAAAGCAGTGAAAGTAGAGCCATTCTTTTCCAGTCACCTTGTTAACTCACTCAGTCACCAGGAGTGGAAAAGGATGTGGATTGCTAGTGCACAGATTGATAGAAGCAATGCCCATCCGTTAGGGGAGAAAGAGTTTGCATCAGGAGGGTTTCCAGTCCCTCTTTCAGTTCCTGATAGCCATGTGACCCTCAGTTGAGTCGCTTCCCCAAGTCTCAGGTTCATCCGTAAGTGGGGTGCTGACGCCGGCTCCGGCCACCTCACCGTGTGAGGGTCATGCGAGGGACGCGGTATGTGGGAAGCACTGGGAAGTGACTGCAGCACCCAAGAGGGATGAAGTATTATTAGGAAAACTCAAAGACCGAGAGAAATGTTTGTAGGTCAGAGTACTGAAGCCAAAACTACCAGAGTAATCCATTTTCAGCATTTCAGAATGAAAGATCCTGCGATACCACATTGTACAGTTGCGGGAATCTCTCTTTCTGAAGTATGAGACGTTAACTACTCAGGATGGTCGGATGGACGCACACCGTCCCCTGATCCTGAAGGCACCGTCGATAAGCTACGATCGGTAGGATAATACAGTGGTTGTGAGTTTAGATGATGAGTCCTTATGTTTATCTCTTTGTTTCTATATATTGTTTGGATTTACACTAAATAGCTCCAAACTCCAAAGGCATTACTGTTTATTTCCTCTTTCCGTGTTTCACCTGGGAAGGTGCTAGCACACTTAGGATGAGGCTGGAAGAGGAGAACAGACACCCCTGTGGGGAGCACTTCACTCTCGCTCCTGGGTAATGTGGCTGATTAATAATCAAGGGCTTGATTACCTCCCTGCACCCCCAGGAAGTAATGCAAATGCCGTCAGTTATAGCACTCGGTTGCAAAAACCAGTTTTCTGGCGCAAACTCTCTGAGAAGTTGATTGACCAAGAGGTCAATCCTTGCACATGACTTCTCATTGACCTTTTCCTAGAAATCTCCCTTGGAGAGAAAAAACAGGGTATATGTGCTTTCCGCTAATTCATGGCTTATGGTTCTTCCCTGGCTCTTCCTAAGATCATGTTATTTTAATCATATCTTAAAACTGAAAACATATGAAAGATTAAATATTTGTAGAGAACGGGTCTGTTCTGCCATAGAGGTAAGATGAGGCACTTTTGGATGGGGAAAATACCCTCTTGAAATATTTGGTTTTATACACGTACTAATTTTGCAATCCCAAAGAAAATTCATGAGTCCCTAAATTTGCTTTGGTTTATAGCTTAATGTAGGGGAAATACTGCCAGCTGTTTCAGTCTGTGCGTGCATGCTGCTGTCATAAGAAGTTCATACGTGTTGCGAGGAAGTACTGCTACTTCCTGCAACTCTACCCTCGGTGGCTGGCACCATCCCTAGACCTGCCGCGAAACAAAACTGTCCTCCAGACAGTCACCACATTTTTATACAGGCTTGTCGCTGCTCTCCCCAGAGATGGATTGTTTAACCAGTGAGAGGCTCCGTATTCCACTGGGATGAGCCAAAGAGCAAGTCTGGGGATGTTAGCAGTCTGCGGTTTCTCCAGTGATGCCCTTGCTCTGGCCCAGAGTCAAGCATTCATTTGGAATTAATGTTGGATCCCATAGAACGAGTTCCTTGCTGCTAGGTTTGCGATAAGAGAGGAATAAGGTCAGGGCCAGCACATGTGGCCAGGAATCCCTAGTTGCGGTCTCTCGGATGCCAGATGTACCGCCAACTCTGATCTCCTAACATTAGATGATAGAATTCCTAGGAACAATAAGATAGTGATTTAGCCTCTTGCCGAATCTTTAACAGCCATCAAAACAGGACACGATAAAGATAAGTGGTACCCAGAAGACCACGATCAGGTAGGAGAGCTAGGAACGACTGCCAGTTTTATCACGGCACCCCCCCCCCCGATGGCTTACCTGCAGGAGCCCCGCTCAGATTCCCTCCCCTGTGGGAGGACTCCTTCTATAGGATTCCGGCTGGTTGGAATCAAGGTGCTTGTTTTCAGTTCCTTGAGGTCTTCGCAATTGGCATATGCAGGAGAAAGTCCGAGGGTTTGAAAAGTGCAGTAGCTGTGTGGGGGTAGAAGCCTACTGAAGTATTTGCAACCAACAAGGGGCTGTCTGGGAGCAGGGTTTCTCTAGGCCCTGGGACACCCTCCTACGTCTGCACTTCTAGATTCTTACATCTGTTTATGACCCGGAACGATTTGAGGGATTTTGTCCTTTTAAAGGACAAGGCTTGTGAACGACTGAGTCCCAGAGAAACCAGTGGTGGTGGTGGTGGTGGTGACGACGACGACAGCCGTGGGGACACTGCTTTGCAAACCTATGAGCCAGCAGTTTGTTGGCCATGAGGGCAAGCCCTCCGCCGCCCCCAGCATAGTTCCCTTTCCTCCCCCACCCTCCCCTCCACTTCCTCAGCCTGTTAGTAAACATAGGGATACGGAGCTCGGCAAATGATCTATGTTCTGACCTCCTCCATTACGGTCACGCCATTGTGTATAGTTCCTGGGAAGGAGAAGTGGGTCCTTTTGGAAGATTTAAGGGAAAAATAGTTGACGATCAGGATCGAATGAAAGGAGAAGGTCCTTCAGTATTTAAAATGTTGGTTTTTTTTTTTTTTTAATGATAACCCAAAAAGTACTTTGTGGTCATAGCTGGGCCCACTTGAAATGAAGTGACCAATAAGAAGCCTTAAGTGAGTTTTAGGGACCCTGCTGCTCATGTCACCTCAGCCTCCGCTGTGTTTGCTTAGGATACTGGGAACCTTGGCCATTCAAGTAGTGTTGTCCTTTAGTGAATAAAGTAATTGCTGTCTTCCACTGTGCCACCTGCCTAGCAGAGACTGCTACAGGCCTCCTCTAATGCAATAGCCCTTGGTACTCCTAATATTTTTAGTAAGAGAAAGTTTTCTATACTAGAATCTTCCACTGCCAGAAAACACAATGCCAGGATGGTTTCTCTGTAATACCAACCATCTGCTTCAGAGACTCTCTTTCCTTTGGGTAGGACGTTAGCTTTTTATTACAAAACTCAACTAACATAAGCAAAAATATGAAATCTAGAAGCACAGTTTTAACCAGGATGTTTAACAATGCTTTGTGACGTTTAAGGGTCTCTTTAAACGAAGTAAGTAGGTTTATAGGACTTCATTTTAGCCATATTTAGGTACCCTGCCTTTGCAAAAAAGAGAATTTCCTCAAACAAGCGAGGGATGATAGAGACTTTTGGTCGCAGCACCTGTTTGGAATCTGGTCTTCTCGTCAGCAGCGTGGCAAGTATGCCATTTTATATTAAACACTGCCAAGGTGATGCAGGGGAGAAAGGAGAGCTCTGCTCACCTTCGCGCGGAATAAAATCTCCTGCGTTCTCGTGGGTGTTTGCTGTGATTAATAGAAACGTTTTGCAAAGCCAGCTAAATGTGATCCTGTTGCTAATGGACTGTTACCCCAGTTCAGTTGGCACCAAGTGCTCTCCTGTAGCAGCAGCAGCAGCCAAAGACGGAATGGTTAACGGAGACCAATTTCTTAGAGGTTGTGGCTATTTCCAGCTATTTCTGAGTTGGGCTTTTGACTTACTGCCACTCTAGCCTTCCTGGTGGCACCTTCATGTCTAGAAAATTCATACTTTAAAGGCAAAGCTTTAAAACCAGAGCTTAGTCTATTCTAGTGACTGATGCACCAGACATCCCTCCCGTCTTTCTTCCCGGGGCACCGCTGACATGATGCCATGTTCTAGACCTTGCAAGCTCAGCCTGCTCTGATCCCGTGGCCTGGGGGATTCGATGGCTTACGTTGTTAGGGCTTTTGAAGATTTTCATTTGATTACATTTCTGGGTCTGATGTTAGGCTAAAGGAAGCCCGGGAATATTTAATATTAGATACTTAATGTAACTGGCCCAGCAACACTAAAGGGGATTCCCGACGCCGGCGCTGGAGGCTGCGGGCTAAACGTTTTGCACTGTTTTTATACTTGTATTCATATCCTCTTATCACCTCAGACTCAGACACAAGGCCTTTTAAATGGAGATTTAAAAAATTACTGCCATTTATGTAAAATAACGTACTGTGACCAAGTTGCTTAAATGGAAAATAAAGTGCTTTCTTTAAGGGAAGTAGCTGGTGTTTCTTCGTGCGTCTCCTGAACTCTTGCTTTGAGAGAAGCCTGTTAGAGCCGGGCTGCTCCTCCGCCCACTGGCGCGTCCCCATCCTGTGGATGGACTGCAGTTACCCCTTGCCCTACACTGTGCTTTTCCTGTGGTTGGTTTGCTGGTTTTGCAGGCCAGGGACAGTGCTTATGTGGGCATTTGGTTAGCAGGAATGTCTCCAGTCCTGCCTCTCGGGCAGCCCACCCAGCAACAAGTGCAGGCCGCTGACCGAGGGGATGTTCCTGTGGCTTCAGGAGGTCCCTTAGGGAGGTAAGAGGTCCCCACTGGCCCAGTCAGAATGTGGGTGCTAAAGACACTAACTGATGCTTGAGGTGAAGTAAAAATAAAAGAGCTTGAGAGAGAAAACTTAAGCTTTCTGAGGTTTCTTTAGGCCCCTGGCACATGACGTAAGGGAGCCACCCTTCCTTCTCTGGGGCCTGGCACTGACGTCTGGGTGCTGACGTCGCTGGGTAGCATCTGCTCCAGTAGCATCCTGGCTGTGGGAGGGATAAGCAGAGAGTGATCTGGATGGAAAGGGATTCAAGAGGAATTACTTTTAGTCCTGTTTTCATTAGCAGCTGTTAAATCGTTTTTAGAGGTCAACTGTATCATCCTATGAAAGGAAAAGACGTGTGGGGACAGGATAGAGAGGGAATAAAGTGCAGCTTAGAGTGTGGTGTCCTTTCTGAGTAAATCCTCACACGTGTCCCCCAGAAGGAGGACGTAAGTCACTGCAGATGGCCAGGCTGGATCGCCCTTCTGGGAAGTAAGGACAATCACAATTTATTGAACACACAGCATTTTATTTTACCAACTAGAATGGTCAACTTAGCAAACAATGGTAGTTGCCTCGGGGCTGCAAGGGACTGTGTCATACTGGGTACACTGGTTGGTTATAACAAATTCAACTACTAGACCTGTATTTTGGAATGAGCATTTTTTTTTTCTAGCAGGTAATTCAGACATTTCACAGAAGAGCATTTTGTCAGTCTTTATAGTGATCCGCACCTGAAAGATGGAATCGGTCTTGGAATTCAAGAGAAGTACGTGGAGGCGCGGCTCAAACCGAGCCGAGGACTAGGAGACGGAAGGTGTTGTCTGGAGTAGCGGCTGGGAGCACAGACAGACACCTCTGTGAACTGCTGGACCACCCGGGACAGTCATCAGCCTTTGGACTTCCCTCAGGCCTAGCAGGTTGTGCTGAAGACAGGGGCCTTGGGTGCCACAGTTTCCCTGAAATGAGACGGGGCTGCCCGTAGGTCGTTGGCTCCGTGGTGTCCCGCCTGCCGCGATGCCGAGCTGCTGGATGACTGACCCCCTGTGACTCCCTCTCTGCATACTCGCTGCCTCTAGTTTCTATTAAAATTACATCTGTCAACACCCCATGTTAAGCTGTAAGGACACATTTTCCTTCACAGACTCCGGCAGGCACACACTTGTCCTCTTAAAGTTTATGATGCTGAAAATAGAAGGGATGCATTTGAGTAGTGGAGCTGTACCCTGCTCTTCAAGGGACCGGCGGGGACAGATGCTCTCGTGAATGAATTAGCAATCCAAGAGAAATCAGAGGAGGAAGTCAAAGTCCCTGGAAGATTCCTTTGATCTAAGAAGTAGTGGACACAACGCGGAGCAGGGGGACGCATGCGTATGTGGGTGCCCATCCGGCGCCCCCCTGGTGCCCCACGGGCTCCTCTGGCTCCTCCGACTGTGCCCCCCAAGTCTCACGGTGGGGCGAGCAGCTGGAAGTCTGGGAGAATTTCGGCTACCTTCCTGCGGAGTTGCGCTCGCCTTTCTTCTTTTTTTCTTTCCTCTTTCATAAACTTCACAAACTTCTTCCAGGTCTCAAATGTGATCCAGAGAATCCTCCTTTAAACACAAAAGGAAAAAAAAAAAAGTTAAACACCATGGACTGGTTGATTTTCCGTCTGAGGTACATTAAAAACTGCAGAAGAGTAATTCTTGGAGTAAAAAGATAATGTTCTATAAAAGATGGGGAGACCAAAACTGGGATTCTACGAAGAAAATAAAGCAAAGAGGATGGAGGGACCGACAGGTTACTTTTATTTTCCATCGGGGGGGTCAGAGAAACCCTCCGTGAGGTGACACTGGGGCAGAGCACCCAGGGGCCCCCAGAAATGCAGGCCATGAGGCATCCCCAGGTCATCTGGTCACAGCCTGTACCTGTGCTCAAGACAGGACCAGCGGCCTGGAGGCTCCAGCAGCTGAAGCCCTGAAGGTAGAGATGCTGGGAGAGCAATTGCAGCATCAAGGTCCAGGCACTGGGGCCCAGGTGCTCGGACTTACAGGCATGTTTCACTGTGCTGCACTTCAGACAGCACGTTTTCTAAATTGAGCATTTGCCATAGCAGCCCTGCCTTGAGCAAGTCTATTGGCACCACCTTTCCAATAGCACTTGCTTATTTGGGTTTCTACATTGCAGTTTGGTAGTTCTCCCAATATCTCGGACATTTTCATTATCGTGGTATTTGTTACAGTGATTTGGGATCCGTGACCTTTGATGTGAATACTGTAATTGGGGCCCCACGAACCACACCCATATGAGACAGCAAACTTAAATATGTGTGTCCTGATTGCTCAGCTAGCCCTCCCCCAACTCTCCCCCTCTCCTCAGGCCTCCCTAGCCCCTGAGCTACAACGGTATTGAAATGAGGTCAGTTAATAACCCTGCACTGGCTTCCATGTGTTCAAGTGAAAGGAAGAGTCACACGTCTTTCACTTTATTATTTTTAAAGATTTTATTTGACAGAGTACAAGTAGGCAGAGTGGCAAGCAGAGAGGGGGAGAAGCAGGCTCTCTGCTGAGCAGGGAGCCCAATATGGGGCTCAATACCAGGACCCTGTGATCATGATCTGAGCTTAACCGACTGAGCCACAGCTCTCACTTTATTTTATATTTTATTTACTTTTTCACAGCTCTCACTTTAAATCAAAAGCTGAAAATGATTAAGCTTAGTGAAGAAGGCATGTCAAAAGCCAAGACGGGCCAAAAGCTAGACATCTTTTGCCCAAAAGCCAAACTGAGTGCAAAGGAAAAGTTCTCAAAGGAAATTAAAAGCGTGAATCCAGTGAACACACAAATACTAAGCAAAACAGCCTTATTGCCAATATGGAGAAAATCTGGATAGAAGATTTTCAAACCAGGTACGACATTCTCTTCAGCCAAAGTCTAATCCAGGGCAAGGCCCTAACCAATTCTAGGAAGGCTGAGAGGTGAGGAAGCTGCAGAAGGAAAGTTAGAAGCTAGCAGAGGTTGGTTCATAAGGTCTAAGGAAATGACCAGCTCAGTAAGATCCAAGTGCCCGGTGAAGCAGCAGGTGCTGATGTAGAAGCTGCAGCAAGTTTTCCGGAAGACCCAGCCGAGATAACTCGTGAAGGTGGCTACACTGAACAGTAGGTTTGCAATGTAGATGAAACAGTCTTACTGTGGAAGAAGATGCCAGCTAGGACTTTCTTAGGAGAAGTCAGTGCCTGGCTTCAAAGCTACAAAGAACAGGCTGATCTGTTAGGGGCTAAGGCAGCTAGAGACTTAAAGTTGAAGCCAGTGCTCCTTGATCATTCAAAAAACCAGGGCCCTTAAGAATTCTGCAAAGTCCACTCAGCCTGTGCTCTATACATGGGACAACAAAGCCTGGATGACAGCACATCTGTTTATAACAAGGTTTACTGAATATTTTAAACTCACTGTTGAGACCTATTGCTTGGGGAAAAAAAGATTCCCTGCAAGATAGGACTGCTCACGGATAATGCACCTGGTCACCCGGGAGCTCTGATGAAGATGGACAACGAGATTAAGGTTTTCATGCCTGCTACACAGCATCTGTCCTGCAGCTCATGGGCCAAGGAGTCATTTTGACTTTCAAGTCTTAGTAGATTGAAAACCTTCTGGAAAGGATTCACCATTTAGATGTCATTAAGAACATTCATGATTCATGGGAGGAGGTCAAAATATCAGCATTCACAGGAGTGTGGAAGAAGTTGATTCCAATCCTCGTGGGTTGAAGGGTTCAAGACTTGAGTGGACAAAGTGTGTGCAGATAGGAGGGAAACCGCAAGAGACCTAGAATTAGAAGTGGAGCCTGGAGATGTGACTGATCTGCTGGAGTCTCATGACACAACTTTAATAGATGAACGGTTGCTACTTACAGATGAGCAAAGAAAGTGGTTTCTTGAGATGGAATATACTCCTGGTGAAGATGTGAAGACTGCTGAAGTGACAACAAAGGATTTACAACATTACATAAACTTGACCAAGCAGGGGATGGGAGGATTGATTCCAATTTTAAAAGAAGTTCTGTGGGTAAAGGGCTACCAAATAGTATCATATGCTACAGAGAAACTTTATGAAAGGAAGAGTCAGTTGGGGCAGTAAACTTCGTTGTCTTTCTGAAGAAATTGCAGTCACCTCAACCTTCAGCAACCACCATCGTGGTCAATCAGCAATCATTAATATCAAGGCAAGACCATCGAGCAGCCAAAAGATTGTGACTCCCTGAAAGCTCAGAGGATTGTTAGCCTTTTTGAACAATTAGGTTTTCTTAAGGTATGTATATTGTTTCTTTAGACATAATTCTATCACACATTTAATAGTATAAACAAATTTTGTTAAGTACTGGGAAACCAAAAAATGCAATGGACTCATTATATTGCGATACTCGCTTTACTGCAGTGTTCTGGAACTGAGCCCCCGGTATCTCTGAGGTGCCTGTGTGTTGTTTAAAAAGCCCACTGGTAACATCACCTCCAATAATCCACCACCACCCCTGAATTTTAGTTGGGAAAAGATTACCCTATTGTCAAATTCCGGAATCATGGTTCTAGAGGGTCCCATGTTGAAGCGAGGATCACCTGCTGCCATAGGGAGATCTGCAGAGGCCTTTTAGGATAACAACTACCTTCACTAGGGCTGTGAAGCTAAGGCAGGTGGTCTCTGCACACTGGGAGAGTCAGCCTACTACTAGGCCATCAGGGCTGCCCTATTTTGTGAATCTCTTGACTGGTTTTTATAGATATACTTAATTTTACTGCTTTTATACTTCCTGCTTTTCTTATTCCTGTTTACTCTTGACTTTCCAAAGAGTCCCCTTTAACATTTTTGTAAAGCTGGGGGGCAGCCCTGGTGGCCCAGCAGTTTGACACTGCCTTTGGCCCAGGGGTGTGATCCTGGAGACCCAGGATCAAGTCCTACATCAGGCTCCCTGCATGGAGCCTGCTTCTCTCCTTCTCCCTGTGTCTCTGCCCCCCACCCCATGAATAAATTAAAAAAAAATTTTTTTTAATGTTTTTTGTAAAGCTGGTTTAGTGGTGATGAATTTCTTTAATTTTTGTCTGGGAAACCCTTACTTTCCTATTTTGAATGATAGCCTTGCTGGATATAATATTCATGGCTGCAAGTTTTTTCTTTCAGCACTTTGAATGTATCATGCCATTTTCTTCTGGCCTGCAACATTTCTGTTGAAAAATCAGCTGATAGCTGTAGGGGGTTTCCTTTATATGTAACTGTTTTCTCTGCTATTTTAAAAACTTGCTTTCACTACATTTTTGCCATTTTAATTACCCTGTGTTTTGGTGTAAAAAGACAAAGGAGGAGGACACTATGTAATCATAAAGGGAACAACCCAAAGGAACATAGAACAATTGTAAACAGTTATGTACCCAACTTGAGAACACTCAATACATAAAGCAGCTAATAAAGTAATTGATGGTAGTACAATAATAGGAGAATTTAACATCCCACTTATATCAATAGATCATCCAAACAGAAAATCAACAAGGAAACAGTGGCTTAGAATGACACATTGACCAGATGGGTCTAATAGAACATTCTACCCTAAAACAGGAGAATACACTTTCTTTTCAACTGCACATAGAACATTCTCCAGAACAGATCGGATGTTAGAACACAAACCAGATCTCAACCAATTCAAAAAGATCAAAGTCATGCCATGCATCTTTTTTGATACAATACCATGAAACTGGAAATCAACCCACAAGAAAAAAATCTAGAAATGACAAATACAAAGAGGTTAAATAACATGCTACTAAACAATGAATGGGTCAACCAAGAAATCAAAAAGGAAATAAAAAAATTACATGGAAACAAATGAAAATACAATAGTCCAAAACCTCTGGATGTAGCCAGAGCTGTTCCAAATGGGAAGTTTATAAGCCTACCTCAAGAAGCAAGAAAAATCTCAGAAAAAGAACAAACAAAACCCCAAACCAGTAGAAGGAAGGAAATAATAAAAACTAGAACATAAATAAAACTGAAAAAACAAAAACAAAAAAACTAAACCCCATATCCCCATAATAGAACAATTCAGTGAAACCAAGTTGCTGGTTCTTTGGAGGGAAAAAGATAACAAAATTGATAAAGCCTTAGCCAGACTCATCAACAAGAGGACTCAAAAATCAGAAATGAAAAGAGAAATAACCAACACCACAGAAATAAAAAGGATTATAAGAGAATATTATGAAAGACTAAATGCCAACAAATTGGGCAACCTAGAAGAAATGGATAAATTCCTAGAAATCTATAACCTCCCAAAATCTTCCTGATTTTGGAAATATAACCTTCCTGAATCAGGAAGAAATAGAAAATTTGAACCAACCAGTTACCAGCAATGAAATTGGATCAGTAACCAAAAAACTCCCAAAAAACAAAAGTCCAGGACAAGATGGCTTCACAGGTGAATTCAAATATTTAAAGAGTAGTTAATACCTATTTTTCTCAAACTATTCCACAAAATAGTAGAGAAAGAAAGTTTCCAAATTCATTCTATGAGGCCAGCATTACCCTGATACCAAAACCAAACAGACACTACAAAAAAGGGGCATCTGGGTGGCTCA